AATCTAAGGGATCTTTTCTGAGACTGATACTCCAACCAAGGACCATGCATGGAAATAACTGAGAAATCCTACACAGATATAGCCCATGGCAGCTGGGCTGGAAACAGGGCTGTCTTTGATATGAACTCAGCAGATAGTTATTTGATAACCTCCCCCTGTTGGGAGGGCAACCTTACCAGGCCACAGAGGAAGACAATGCAGCCAGTACTGATGAGACCTGATACACTAGGGTCAGATGAAAGGAGAGGAGGACCTCCCCTATCAATGTATTGAAGAAGGAGCATGGGAGGAGAAGAGGGAGGGAGGATGGGATTGGGAAGGACTGAAGGAGGGGGCTACAAAGTAAATAAACGATAATAAATAAATGTAAAAAAATAAATGCAATTAAAAAAAGAAAAAAGAATCTAAAAGCTGAAGGATAGAAGGTAGTGCTGGGCAATGCGGGCTTCTGGACACAGCATGATTGTTGCACTCTTAAACTTATTATATCTATAGTTACCTGCAAGACCTGTACAAGATTAAGCCAGTAACATCAGTGAACATTCTAGCAGGCAGCACTAAAAAAATTATTAACAAGGACATGAAAGTGGAAGAGGAACATGACATGAAGATACTTTGGATGAAGTCTGGAAAGAGTAGGAGGGGAGAACTGGGGTAGATTGGTGATAATACAAGCTATACATAAATGAAAATATCATGAAAATCAATAAATAGAAAAAGGCCATTAAATATTTGAAGAAATTTTGGACAAAACCTTCTGATATTTGATTAAAAAACATGAATCTAAAATCTTGAAGAATTCCAGAACACAAATAGCCCCATGTGAAAAAATTAATCAGTCTCATGTTGCCAGAAATAAAGATTCTTGGAAACACACAGAAACAAAAGGGTACCTACTAAGACAGCTAGCTGACTTCTCATCAGGCTGCACAAAGGCAAAAGCAGTGCAATGTTATATTTAATGTACCAGAAAGAAAAAAAAAAGGCTTGTATTAGATAGCTGGACATTAAGAAAAAATTAAGACAGCTGTAGATAAACAAAAAACAAAGGGGTTACTGCTAGACATGTCCAGTAGGGGCGCTAAAAGGGAGTGTTTAGATTTGATTGAAAGGCACAAAGCCATAGTGAAAATATGGTTTTCCAAGAAATGTAAATAAAATGGTAAATGCAGAATCCACTTATTGTGCTTTGAGCTTGTAACTCTTATTTCGGGAATGAGGAAACATGGTAAACTATCACCCATTCTACCACTGAACTACACTCCTAGAACCGTAACTCTCTTTGGTTCCTACACCTTTCAACAGACATGCAAAATATATTCACCAAATACACAGCCAGCATATAGCAGTGCCAGTTATAAAAATAACATGGGGACAGAGCTATGTAAAAGCCAAGTTTTTATGAGATACTGGCAACTGATGGTTTTAATTCAAATTAAATTGGCATAAGGTTAGGATGATAAATGCAATCCCTCATGACTGGCAAAAAAATATAAATAAGAAGACACACACACAAACGAAACAAAATACACTATACTATAGAAAACAACTAAATTCAAAGAAAGAAAATGATAAAGGTAATGAGAGACATATTGTCATAATTCATAAAAGATGAAAGAAAATTGGAAAAGTCAGTTTTTCCTTATTACTCTATTTTTAATATGAATAAAATAAACCCTCTACTCAAAAGAAATACATTTAAAGAATGGATAAATAAAATATTATACTATGCAAATTACCTACACAAAATTAATTTTGTATCCAAAGATGTGAGTAGAGAGTAAAGGGAAGAAAATATATACCATACAGATATAAATAAAGCTGAGGTAGAAATAATTTTTGAAGGAAATACAGATTATAAGTAAACTGAGGAGCCACTGAAGACAAATGATCAACAGACCTGAAAATATCTGCATCATATATATTTCATGTTTTGTCTTTCTTCTCCCCTTTGATGAAACCTGGCTTTTTGTAGAAATGGAAACACTGATTCTAAAATTCACATGCAAATAGAAGAGACTGGGTATAGCCAACTTTGGAAAAGAATTAAAAAAACACATTGAATATTCAAATTTTGCTACAAATTTAGAGTGATCAAGACAGTATGACAAAAGCAAGAAAATAGATGTATAATCAAAGGAACAGAACTGAGTCCTAGAAATAAACTCATACTTACAGTACATGATATTCAACAGGAATGCCAAGATATTTAGTAGAGAAAAGAAACTTATTTTTCAACAAGTAGAAGAACTGAAAGCTGTGAGTGAATAAAGTTGAACCTATATATCATATCATACTAAAAAGTTGTCATAAAGACAAAACATGACTATTTTCTCTCTTATGCAGTCTCTTTCTCTCTCTGTCTCTCTCTGTATCTCTGTCTCTGTCTCTCTTTCTCTCGCTCTCTCTCTCTTTCTGTGTATATGTGCAGAAAGAATATTTATTTTGGGGAAACAAGGAAACTAGAAAAATGGTGTGAATAAGATACAAAAGTGAAGGAGGCAAATAAAAAAGTTAACTCAGAATGGGTAAGAAAACTATATATACAAAATATACTAAGCTATAAAACTCTCAGAAGATAGGGGCCAATCTTATGATCTTTGTTTATATATTGTTTTTATACCACTCAAAAACATAAGCAACAATAAAAACAAAAGTAGACAAAAGTGATTAAAGAATGAAAATCTTTGTGTTTAAAGAAATACCATTAGCTCATAGTAGTGTGAGTGGATAGATCAGCTATTGAGAAGTTAACTCAAGCTTGTATAAGCACACATACAAAAGATCAGACTGGTACAATATAGCAAGATCATTTTTGTATTGTCACTATATTTACTATAAAAACGAAAATAAAGGAAGTAAAAATTCAGTTCAAAAAAACTCAACAAAACACTTTCAAATACTGTGTCTTATGAGGGACTTATATTCAGCACATTTGCATAGACAGTTCTCCAAAGATATGCAAATGACCAATAACACATGAAAAGATGCTTAACACTATTAGTCACAATGTAAATTAAAGTCAGAATAAGAACTTGAGGACTGGAGATATAGCTCAGTGGTCAAATATTTCCTTATCATGCACAGGCCTCTAGGGTCTATTACTAGAAAAACAAGCAAACAAGAACCAAAAACGAACACATACAATGAGAAAATATTTCATAACTGTCATCAGGTTAACTACAGTTAAAAATGCAGATAATATTGTTAACAATGATATGTAGAAATAAAAAAAAAAACCTCAAATACAACTATTTAGAACAGGGTCTGGCAATTCACTCAAAAGCTAAAAAACAGAGTTTCATATAACCTAGAAATCTCAATATAACTTTACCTAAGACAAATGAAAATAAACGGGTTCATAGGAGAGAAAATTATATATTTTCCTTACGAATTGTAGAGTCTATGGCTGAGACCCATGCACAAATTTATAACAGTATAGCAAGAACATTTAGAGAATAAAATATAATGGTATATTCCACATTTATAAGTGATATAATAACAATTATCTCACAATTAATTTTTAAATTAAACATGGAACCATTTACTTCTTAATATAATTTACTAACAAAATTGTTCTTAGTAGTACATTATAATGAAGTTATACATAAAGGCTTAATATCTTACAAAAAATAACATGGATTTGTTAACTAAATTCAAATTATAAAACTGCAATGCCTCAAATCACAAAAATGACAGTCTATAGACAAACCCATACACTAAAGGAAATTTAAAAAAGAGAGAATGAATCTTAAATCAATAAACTATTGAATCTGATGAGGTAATAACAAATAAATACCTTAAATTAGGAAAGTTTATCATCTAAATTTCTTAAACCAAAAACAGTAAGGAAGAAAGTAAGACAGAGATTCTTATCTATTCACAAACTTTTACCGTCCAATTAATCATATACAAGGTGCAAAAATGTTGCCCAACAAAAGCAAGAGCAAACCAATGAATAATAAAAAAATACAAACAATAACTAAATAGTCATGTAACTGTAAATGAACACAAGCAGATCTCTTATCCTCAAACAACTACCAAAGTTTTAAAGGTTGAACTTTAGAAGAAAATCATAAAAATTAAAACAAACATATAATGATTGAATTGTCTCAGTGGCTCATTGGTCCAGTATGTCATTGAACTGTATCAAATAACTGCAATTAATAGAGTCATACTCCAACTTAACACTTTTCCCTAATGAATATTAATGAATAAATCTGCACAGTTACCCAAACAGGCAACTATACACATACACATAAATACTCATACAAAATACACCTGATTGACATATGCATGCATGTATTGAGATGGTCTTTCCTCCTGCACACAGAGAGACGACCATATTCACTAGCTTTATTTGCTTCTTCCCTTTTCAATAAAATATATGATGAAAGAGAAATCTGAAACTTAATTCAAAAATAAACTAACGAAAACCTCAAGACAAAGAGAATATGACAAAAAGATGCTGTATTTTTAAATGATGTTCAAAATTGGTGGGAGGATAATATAAAAAATATTATAAAGATTTTATCTTCTAATAAAATTTTGCTTTCCCCTTAAAGCCAAAGAAAACAGTATCATAGAACCATATATAAGTGTTTTTAACTGTTTTGTGGATTTTTTTACACGTTAATTTTAAAGGAAGTAGAAAAGAGTCCCCAAAATGTATTCCAATGATTCTAGCAAAAGTAAGCCTTCATTTTAAAAAGCCAAGCCAATGGTTCTAAATATATTTTTCAAAACAGACTTTATTTCAAAAGCAATAGCCTTTATTTTTTAATGATTACATTTTAGGATAACTATTTGAAGTCAGTTTCCTGCTTTGCAACATCAATATTTAAAAAGCTATGGGTCTTAAGTGAAAGAATATAAATTAATGCTGGTCCCCACTGGTGGATCTGAATATCTAACTTCTTATTTAAAGAAAAAAAAATGTATTAAACTCCCTGTAAAAAGTTAGCCCCAGAAGAGCACCGTGGATAGCTCTTGCCCTCTACCTTTACTTTCGCATCCATACTATATTTTTCCTTTCTCCAATGTACTTGCTCGTTCTTCAGCTTCTCTAGTTCGTTTAGCAGGTCAGTGCAGCGTGTACTTAATTTCTCATTTTCCTTTTCCAGGTTTTTTATAAGCAGTCTATTTTTTTCTTCTTTATTCTGTACACACTCCTTAGCGTCCTGAAGAACAGTACCACAAGGGCCGATAAACAAGAAAAAAAAAAAAAAGGTGAGAACTTATCAGCAAATATAAACTGTGCAGTTTCACCCTCACAGCAGCTTCTTCTATATTTGATAGCCAAGGTCACCTGTGTACTTTATTGGCCTCTTTTCATGCAGGTGGATGGGTCATATTTTTTCACTGGATGACAGCTTTGATGAGTACACATTTGCAAAGAGCCCATTAATTGATCAAGCTGCCTTTGATGCTGTCCCCAGCTATTTTTGAGAGCCACACAGACATATCCTCCCAGACCTGGGTTTTATCAATTAATAATGCCAGTCCCATCAGAATCTAATTACAAGAAGCCACATATTCACACTCCTACTTTCTTAGCTCCATTTCCATCATTAACTATTTATCTGTAAGTTATAAAGCTCCAAGCCTGAGCTTTAAAGCATCTTTATCAGAGTTTTTGCATGTGAGAAAACTGTGTGGTACAGCAGAGCCTAAGGCAATTTTCCGGCAAGCCTGTCACTTTCTGTGCCACAGGGGCTAGTAGAGCTTCAAGGGGGACTTCAAAGCAAAGGTACTGTGTAGCCACGCACAAGTCAACACACCTTAACTTCTTGGCTTTTATCTTTAAATTTCTTCTGTAAATCACTGAACTCTTTCCTTAAGAAAGCATTTTCTTCATCAACCACAGTCTTCAGTTTTACAAGGTCATTTATTTCCTGTTTTAGTAATGATTCAGTCTGTGAGAAAGATTTAAACCAACTGTAAGCTGGCATGTCGAAGCAAAAATGCTTATTTCATAAGCTTATACCTTAGTTGTTACTTATAGCTGTAATTGGCTTTAATAATCAAATCCAAATCACAGTGCTCAGTTCTAGCATACTCATGGACTTTCACCTAAAATGTACAAGGCCATCTATTTATTAGTTTAAGATGAAAAACACATTTAAAACTCAATACCAAATACTAAACCATACACTGAAAACAAACATTTAAGTGCACAGAAAGAATAATCACCAAATTTTATTTTAAAAATTCTAATAAGTAAAATGTATGTGTGGCTAAAATAACATATAATTATTATTTTACTGGGTAACATTTAGAAAACAGCTCTAGAAAAACAACTGTGGTTTTGGAAATGGATAGATCACTTCAAAAATAAATATAAAAAGGGCAAAGTCAGGTGACAAAATATTTTGTTTTACAGACTACTAAGATTATAGTAATTTTAGCTAAATGTTATTCACAGTACCTAGACTCTTTTTTCTGTTCCTAATTGGCGAATAGAAGGTTGTACTTCAATTCTTAGCTTCTGTTTATAGCTTTCCTTTAACTTTACCTCATCAGCCCTAACCCTGGAAAGTTCGAAAACACTTCTGCTGGACAGTCGGTTGCCACTTCAAACTAGCATTCTGTAACTAAAACTCACACCTTTACTATCTCCTTCCCAGATTCCTTCAACTTCTATTACTAGCACCACTCTTTCAGTTGACACAAGAATTTCCTCTGTGGTCTAACACACTTATTTGAAGCCTACATGCCAGATCCAAAAGTGTTAGCATTTATCTGCAACCAAGAAGCAGACACAACAGAAGAAAATACTGGGGTTTTGTCATTGATGTTTTTTTTGTTTGTTTGTTTTTTGTTTTTTGTTTTTTGTTTTTTGTTTTTTTTTTAGTTATTTGTTTATTTGGTTGGTTGTCTCAGGCAGTCTCACTCTGTAGCCCAAGCTGGCATGGAACTTACTATATAAGCCAGGCTAGGCCCAAGTTCATGGCAATTATCTTTCTTCAGCCTTCTGTTTGTAGAGATTAAACATCTATGACACTGTATCAGGCTTTGTTTTTGTTTTAAATGAAAGCATCGGCAGAAACTAACCTGTTTTTAAATTATGGGTTTGAAGCTTTTATAATAATTATATTTTAGTTATAGGGAATATTTTTATTAAATTTATTTATTTATTCACTTTAAATCTCGAATGCAGTCCCCAGGCACACACACACACTCCTCCCCCCATTCTCCCCTCTCATTCTGCTCAGAAGGGGAGGTCCCCCATTGGTACCAGCCCATCCTGGCACATTAAGTCTCTGAAGAACTAGGCTCACTCTCTCCTACTGAGGCCAGACAAGGCAGCTTAGTTGGGGGAGCAGGCTCTAAAGGGAGGCATCAGAGTCAGAGAGGGCCCCTGCTCCAGCTGTTTGTGGATCCACATGAAAACCAAGCTGCATATCTGCAACACATGTGTAAGGGTTCTAGGACCAGTACATGCATGCTCTTTGGTTGGTGGTTCACTCTCTGTGGGGTCCTATGGACCTATTTTAGTTTACTCTGTAGGTCTTCTTGTGGAGACCTTGACCCCTCCAGCTCCTGCAATCATTCCCCCAACTCTTCGATAGGACTCCCAGAGCTGGGTCTAATGTTTGGCTGTGGGTCTCTGCATCTGTTTTGTCAGCTACTGCGTAAAGCCTCTCAGAGGAGTTACACTAGGCTCCTGTCTGTAAGCATAGCAGAATAGCATTAATAGTGTCAGGGATTGGTTCTCTTCCATGGGACGGGTCTCAAGTAGGGCCAGTCTTTGCTTGGCCATTCCCTCAGTCTTTGCTCTGTCTTTGTCCCTGAACATCTTATAGGCCTGACAAATTTGGGGTCAAAGGGTTTGTGGGCAGGTTGGTGTCCTTATCCCTACACTGGAGGTCCTACCTGGCTACAGGAGGTGATCACTTCAGGCTCCATGTACGAAACTAACATTTACTCTATCTGTGTAACACTGATGCTCCTATTCTGAATATCTTATTTTATATTTCAGTATCTATCCCCTATTAAGCCCTCTCCAATGACTGGAAGATGGATGAAAAGTAAAACAAGAGTAGGGTAATTTTACAAGGGTAAAATTAATGGCAGTTAAGAGGAATAAGGTAAATAAAGCACCTGTGCTCACTGAAAGCCAAGGCTGCATTGTTAAATGTTGGTTTTCTTTTACTTTTATTATAAGTTTTAGATATTGAATACATCCAAAACTAATGTATGAAACTGAATTAAAATGAGAAAAAAGATAAAAGCAGAATCGTTCCACATGCCAACCCAACTAAATACTGTAACCTCACCATCATCTGTGACGTTCATGGGTTCCATATCTTCTACCTGCCTTGCCACCATCTGTCATGTCTATAGGTCCCTCATCCTCTATCCCCCCATTTTCCACCATCTGTCACATCTTCTAATCTCCACCTGCAATCACCTTAGAGGTAACAGCTATACTGGAAAGACACATCCTGTTTTGTTTTTTTTTTCTTTTCAGTTGAAAAGAATACACATTCCTATTTTATGTGTTATGTCGTTTGCTTTATTTTAATATTTATATTACCGCATATTATACATGTTATGTGTCTTGCTACTTTTGTTCAATATTTTCTCCCAAATTTTTCCACGTGGATTGATACAGTTGTAATCCAAGTATACTGGTGGAAACCATGGCTCCATTATGAACACACTATTATATATCCACTTTTTCTCACTATAAAGTTCAGCTGTTTCCTCTTTAATGGAAAGATGTACATAGACAATGCAGTTTAACACTCTTAATCATGTCTCCAGATAAACATGAGTGAACATTACTTCTATGTAGAATTTTTCAAACTATAGAGTTGTGTGTGACTATCCTCACGGCCCAGGAACTGCCATCTTGGAGTGATCAGCTGAGCCTGCTTGTGAAACAATTATCTCAGCTGGGCTTCTTGATTATCTATATCCTCATGGAGGGATGGAGAGGATAACGAGGACCTCCTATTCCTTTGATCCACAACTCTGCCTCAATTGCACATGACCTCAGGAAGGAGCTAGAGTATATATGCCAGGAAAAACTAACAGAGGGGCTCCACCCATGTGGTCATGAAAAAGCCACCATGTCTGCTGGGGGAAAGCTTTCCAGGTACAGCATTTTGGGGAATAAGTAACCCCTCACCTATATGCTCTATAAAGAAGCCCCAAAGCTTCACTGGTTCTCCAGAATAAACTTTGGTAAAACTTTTCTTCAATTTATCATTGGGACTTTAGGAGGAGGAGTAGACATTACTTATACCTCCCTGGGGAAAGAGTTTTGAAGTACAATCTAGAGCTGGACACAGTGGCATATACCTGTAATCCCAGCACTAGAGGAGGCAAAAGCAGGCAGATCTTTGTGAGCTCAAGGCTAGCCTGGTCGACAAAGCAAGTCCAGGACAGCCAAGACTACACAGAGAAACCCTGTCTCAAAAAAAAAAAAAAAAAAAAAACAGAAACCAAATAAAAAAAAAAAAAGAGTAGTACAATCTAAGAATGGTTCATTAGATCAACTTAGTTATCAACCCAAGTGTTAAAAAAAGAAACAAAAAAGAAAATATCAAAATGATATGTACAAATTCTTAGCAAAAAGCCCAATACCTATAAGAATTATAAATTCAAAGATATAAACATTAAATCTCTTCAGAAATTTTTTAAAAAGTTTGTAGGCTTATCCTTCAAAAGAAGTGATAAAATTAAGAGTACCCTTATCTATCCTGGAATCACTTCATTCTCTAAAATGTATGCATACCAGGATTTCTTGACAGAGGTAAATATTACCAGGTACAAACAACACAAAGGACACAAGGGGCAAATTCATCTATGAGTTACTTATTATTTAAAGTTTGGCATGTGTTTGAGTTAGTAAGATGTAAAAACAGATATAGATCTAATTTGTAAATAGAAACACAAAGAAAGGTTTGTTATTAAACTATCATATTCTGATAGTTGGTCATGTGATATTCTGCATAATCAACAATGTTACATAAAGGCAAATTTCTGACAGGAGGTGGATAAACTCTCAAACTTTTGTAATTCTAAAAAAGTAAAAATATTTTCCTAATGGAAAAAATCTAATTTAAGTAACAAAATTACAGGTAGAAACAGTACAATCAATTTTAAGTTTTAGCTTTATGAAACTTTTTCAGCAAATCTTTCTAGATATAGTCAATTTCTAATAGTCTGATATGAGTGCATACTAAAATAGCAAACAGAACTCAGAGGAATCATAAAGCCTAAAGGGCAACAAGACAAAGCATGTCTGAAACAAATAATTTATTATGGACAAACCAAGAAATGAATAATTTAAATCATGGTCAAGAGAAGCCTATAGAGTAAGTACGGATTAGGGAACAGCATACAGCCTAAAATTCTACAAGGCAGTACTGAAACACAGTTAATTTATTATTAATTATAAACCACTTTCAAAATGGAAATAAGAGCTTTAATAACATACAGAAAAGTAATAAAACCACTACAACAAACAAAATGATAAAGAAGAGAGATAAGGGGTAAGAAAACTGAGTACTGCTGAAAACCAACATTCATTTCTGCCCCGTTTAGAATGAGAGAGAATGCTAAAGAGTAATCAGCATTTGATTAACTTCAGTATACTAGGTTATCAGAAGTCATGTTACTTCCTATATGCACTATAACTTATTTTATAATTAGCAGTGACATAGCTACAATTCTGAGGAAAAACAGGAAAGGTTCAACCTTCCTCACAGCTGGTGGATTCTTTTGTTTGACAGCTTGCTTTCTCTCTTTTGTCCTCATTTGTTAGTTAGCTGGGTTTTGAGGCATATTGGTAACTTTTACTTTTCTGGTAACATGAGTTAGTTTTGTTGCGGATTTTCTGAAGACGAGCAGACACTAGTACAACCCCCACCCACCTATAGTTCCTGCAGCCCTAGGCTGGAGGCAGGCGGCCACACTGGTCTGACAATGGGGTATTAGCTGTGGTAGTGGGTCCGAGGAGACATACTAGGGCTTCTATAACTGAAGCAGCACCACTGTCCCTAAAGCACCACGGCCCTTTGACGGCCATGACTTCACCCACCACAGCCACTGTATCACCACTTCGGCTCTCTGCTTACCGGCTGTAGCCGCTACAGTCCACTCAGCCTTAGCTGAAACTTCTGGGGCTGCTATATCATCAGCTTCCTTCCTGACTTGCTGGGGTTTTCCCAGAGCCTCCCACTCATCATTCAAGTCTAGAAGCAGACTGGGGTCAAGTGAAAAACCTGGTGTTACACGCAAACAGTGATCAGGATGGATGCAGAAGTTCTTCCATCAACACTGAACCTTGGCCTTTACCAGCCTAGCCCTTTAGCTTAAATAAGCTTAAATCCTCATGTCCTCACAGAGTCAGTCTGTTTTTGTCCATATTCTAGCTTTCACATGTTGCAGAGCCAACCCAAATAAATCATTACTGTGATGGTTTTGCTCTGCCTTTTCACTATTTCAATCTATAAATGAACAGTGGCTTTAGCTGAACTAGTAGCAATAAGAGCTGGTAATACTAATGGCTGACAGCACAGATGGCAAAATACCCAAAGGAGGCAGGGACTCCCTAAATCTAACAGTCTCAACTAACCTGGGCCCAGAGGGGCTTGCAGAGACTGAAGCACCAACCAAGGGTCTTCTACTACACCTAGACCCTCTACACATATATGCTCAATGGGCAGCTTAGTCTCCATGTAGGTACCCAGAAAAAGGTTGGGGGCTGTCTCTGACATGGTCTCTGTTGAATGGTTTTCCATCACTTCACTCTGGTATGGCTGCCTTGCCAGGACACGGTGGAAGAGGAAGTACAGTCCTGATGAGACTGGATGTCGTGTGAGGATTTGCAAGGGGAGGGGTCCTCCCCTCTTCTGAGAGGCAGAAGAGGAGAGATAGGGAAATGAGGAAGGGACAGAGGCAAGGGACCAGGAGGAGAGAATAGAGGGAGCTATGATTGAGATGTAAACTGAATAACTAACTAAAAAAAAAAAAAAAAAAAGAAACAGAAGTGAGTGCTCCCAACAATAAGAGGTGAGAGCTCATAACACAAACGGGAGCTGCATTTTTGGTCAAAATGTAACTAATTTTTGTCTGAATTGAGCTAAGGAACGGTCCATTCACTGATCTTATGGTTGCATGACAGTCTTTATTATATTTATATGTATGATAATATTAGATTTCTCTTTTATAAAAGCTAAAAAGAACCAGCCTAACAGTCTGTCAATTTGACTAGATATACAGTAAAAACTTGAATTCAAAGTAATGCCATTCTAATTGCTGCTATATTTCACAAATTATAAATCCTCTTGGAAAGGTTACTTAATATTACTCAGTGAAACAACAAAAACTCAACTTCCCATTTCTAGTCCAGCATAGGACTTTAAAAGCTCTATTTACACACACACACACACACACACACACACACACACACACACTCTGAAGCTAAGACTCACAATTTTATACAAGACTAGAGAAGGCCTACAATGTGGAAGCACTTTGGGCAAGAACTCAGATCAAAATGTTGAACTAAAAAGGACAGTGCTCAGGGTGGAGAGATGGCTCAGAGGTTAAAAAAAAAAAAAAAACACTCGATGTTCTTCCAAAGGTCCTGAGTTCAATTCCCAGCAACCACATGGTGGCTCATAACCATCACTTCACTCTGGAATGGCTGCCTTGCCAGGACACGGTGGAAGAGGAAGTATATAGTGAGATCTGGTATGCAGGCAGAATACTGTATAATACTTAAAAAAAAAAAAAGGACAGTGCTCATGGTATGACATGGAAACAATGACTCAAATGGGAATTTGAACAGAAGGTATCTGAATTGTATTCTCATAGTTGGTGTACTGAAACTCTGTGAGAAGCTATGCTTAAACAAGACAGACTAGCAGAGAAAATGTCAAGGCCACCCAGCTTAGGGGTTGTGGCATGGTTATTACTACAGGCAGAGTAAGGTTTAATGTTTGTGTGTGGGCGATTGCACATGACTGCAAGTCCACTCAGGGCTAGAGTTACAAGTGAAGTGAGCCACTTGATATGGGTGCTGGGAATCAAACTCAGGTCCCCTGGAAGAACAGCTATTGCTTTTAACTGCTGAGCTATTTCTCTAGACCCAGAATTGGGTATTTAAAAGTAATAAGTTAGCAAAAGAGTCTTATAAGTCTTCGACAACTGAGGTCAGCCAGTATTATTTTGTTCTTTTGCTTTGTTTCAGCTAACTAGAAGATTAAAGAGGTCATTTATTGAGATAGGCAGCCTGAGGAGAATAGACTGAAGTCACCATTAGCAGAAATGGAAGGTTGAACTGACAAAATAGCTGACTGAAAGGCTAACTAATATAAGTGATAATTTACATGAAAAATTACTTAGGGATGGGCTGGCTAAGTTAGGGAGGTTAAAGCAAACTTCCAATAATCAGATACTTGTGGCCTGAAATTTGAATCAGGCCACTCTTCTACACAGTCCCTACAGAATAAGAAGATCAAGCAAACCTGGGGACATGGGAACAGGGATTTGTGGGAGCAGCACTAAAGGAGGGGAAAATGGAATACAAAAGGATGAGCCATACAACTGCAATACTTTGACTTTTCGTTGATATTTAAAAGCTTTGAAGGGGTGTGATCCTACATTCTCAAAGGTCCATCTCACGGTGCCTGTCTTTTTAAAAAATAAGGCATGCATTCCTGCATAAAAAAAAAGTATTGAGAGCACAAGGACTTGAAGATTTACAGTTTGCCTATAAAATGAGCATGGTGAAAATGGGGCCAAGGATCCAATGGATACTAAAGACATCAGTGCTCTTTCAAAAAGCCCAGGTTCATTACACCTCTTGAGTCCAGGAAGTAGCTAGACTCACCCAACCTCAGGATCACGTATGCAGAGGTATTAACTCACTTAAAATATTTGATTTAGGATAAGAACTATGTGACACTCTGCTTGTACAGGACCACCTCAGGAAGGGTTTCCCAGCGTTACCAGTAAGTTAGGTATTCAGAGGCTGCTACATCCATGATATAAGGTGGAACAGCTATTGCTTATGCTGAGAACATACTTACTTAACATTTTCACCTGATATAGTTCTGCAGCTATGTAGAATCCTGGAATTCTCACTCAGATTTTAAAGGAAGGGGTAGGAAGCCAAGTATTATATAACAATGCCACTCTCCCTTCAAACAGCCCAGGAAAGAACAACATATAACTCTGCGAGACTAAAAACAAAAACTCACTGTGAACCTAAAGAAGATAGAGATGCAAGAAATACTATCTGCTATGGAGAGCTGAACACACAAAGCATATCCAGCTCCAAAGAGAGCCCAAGTTGGCTGCAAATGGCAAGGATAAAGAGGTTGGCAAAGCTGGGCAAGTCCTTTGGGGCCCAAAGCACACCATCATATGCCCCATATGCCAAGAATGGAGCTCCAGGACTTACTGTTTACCCAACTGGTTTGGTTCTTGCTTTAGCCCCATCCCTCCGTTCTATGAATGGGAATGTTTACTCTGTGCTATTATATACTGAAAGGCTATAATTTCCTTTTTATTTTACTTTCCAGGGGCTGATGTGGAAGAGTTTGAATTGAGTCTCAGAAGAGACTTGGAACTTGGAACTGCATAAGTTCTAAGACAATAGGAACTCTCTTGGAGATGGACTAGATTTCTTTTGCAATATGAGCTAGAAAGGAGCCATCTGTACAAGATAGAATGGAATGTCTTGAATGTGAAATGCACCATCACAGGCTCATTGGATGTAATTTTGTCATCTAGCGAAAGCACACATATGGTTGTGATAATAATAATGATTATACAAATATATGCAAGCTATATATATTCTTTAATTGTATGATTTATAAATAAAAATTGCACCAATTCAATAATGCAAATTTTCAAAAGATGAACTAGAATAGTACCAATTATTATGACTCTTTTCTATAACCAAAACCATGTAAACATGTATATATCAGAAACACATAAATATCAAACAGAAACACATAAATATGTCAAAAATAAAAATACAATAAGACAATGAATAATAAATACTACTTTATAATAATAACAGCCTGTTAAGCATTTTAATGAGTTTTATACCTGATCAATAGCTTTGGTATTATAATGAAAGATTGACTACAGTGATTTCAAAACAATGCTTTCACAGAACAACCTTGATTTCTTAATGAACATTATAACAAAAGCTTCAAATAATTTTTAAAGATCTACAACCTGAAGCAAAACCAATGTTTCATATTTTTATTAAAATACAACCTGTTCCAATTCTTGTATTTTAGCATCCTTGACTTGTAAAATTTCCAGAACTTTTCTGTCTTTTGCTTCAGATTTCTTTTTTTCCCTAAAAACAAATAAAGAGAGTTTATTAGTCATGATTCCTAGGAATTCCTGTTGATTTATGTTGTTTCGCAGTGCTAAGTATCAAAGTCAGGAGCTCATACATGCCAAGCAAGTGCTCTACCACTGTCCCATCCCATAATTACTTCTTTAAATGTCCACATCCTAGTAATGAACATAATTTTAAAGTATAAAGGATTAAATTCTTTTATGTCAACAGCTCTTTCAGAATCAGAAACCATATGGCAAGTGACAGAAGCTTACCACAGCTGACAACTGTTTTGATGTTGTTGTTGTTTTGTTTTCCAGAGCTGAGAACGGAACCCAGGGCCTTGAGCTTGCTAGGCAAGAGCTCTACCACTGAGCTAAATCCCCAATCCCTGACAACTGTTTTGAAAACTTCATTTTCTAGAAATAATTTAATTTCTAGGTGTAGATGGATGATAGTCAATATTTAAAACATAATTTAACCCTGACACCACTATTACCTATTGGACAGCAGGTTGGGACTGTATAATAAGTATCTAATACTGGATAAGCCCACTGAATATTTTTATCATTAATATGTATAAAATGCTTATATTAATAAGATAAAATTTATTCATTTATTAAATTTTGGAGAAGTGAGACATAAAAATAAATTATTACTCTGAACAATATTAATGAGGTACATATCCAGGACACTACAGAGAAAATGATGGCATTAAAAATATGACATCAGACAAAACACAGGAGTTTGTTTTACTGGGAAACTCTAACATACTATAACACTCCAGAAGTAGGAAGACTGAATGAAATTGCTAAGAATGTTTTAGAATTAAGTAATTCTCACAGTTGAAGACATATTAACAAAATAATAATAAAAAACCTGTATCTAACACATTAACTTATCATCTATAAAATCACCAATTAAATGGGGCACAGTGGCACATGCCTATAATCCCAGCACTGGGGAAGGCAGAGGCAGAGGCAGAGGCAGGCAGATCTCTGTGAGTTCAAGGCTAGTCAGGTCTAAAGGGAATCCAGAATATCCAAGGCTACAAAAAGAAACCCTCTCTTAAAAAAAAAAAAACCCACAAAAATCATTATGTATTCAGCACTACCAATACAGGAATTGCCACAGGGATAAGAGATACTACAGCAAACAGGATATGGTCTGTTTTAAGGCTTCTGAGTACAATGTGTATTCTTTGGTGTATATTTGGTGTAATATTCTGTAGATATGATAGGTCTGTGTGATGTAAAATGTCATGTAATTCTAAAGTTTCTTTGTTTATATTTTGTCTAAATGACATGTATATTGAAGAAAGTGAGGTATGTAAAACACCTATGGATTTGGTGTTAATGTGCATCTTTAAATCTAGTGGTTCACTTTTAATGAAATCAGGTGCACTATAGTTTGGTTCATACATGCTTAGTATAATAATATTTTCTTGAACACTGTTTGTTTTTCCCTTCATTAGAATGAATTATTCTTCTTTTGTCTCTTCTGGCTTACTTAGAAGTGTATTTTGTCATGTAATAGAATACTGCTTCCTCAAGATCCAGCTATACCACTTAGGCATATATCCAAAAGATGCTCAAGTACACAGCAAGGACATTTGCTCAACTGTGTTTGTAGCAGCTATATTCATAATAGCCAGAACCTGGAAACAACCCAGATGTCCATCAATGGAGGAATGGATACAGAAATTGTGGTACTGTTACACAATGGAATACTACTCAGCAATTAAAAAAAAGGAAATCATGAACTTTGCAGGCAAATGATGGGATCTAGAAAAGATCATCCTGAGTGAGGTATCCCAGAAGCAGAAAGACACACATATTATATACTCACTTTTAAGTGGATACTAGACTTATAAGATAGGATAAACATACTAAATTCTGCACACCTAAAAAAGATGACTAAGAAAGAAGACCTGGAGTAAAATGATCAATCTTCACTTAGAAAGACAAATGGGCTGGACATCGGAAGTAGGAGAAAACAAGTAACAGGACAGGAGCCTACCACTGTGGGCCTCGAAAAGACTTTGCCTAGCAGTGTATCAAAGCAGATGTTGAAACTTATAACCAAACCTTGGGCAGAGTACAGGGAATCATATGAAAGAAGGGGGGATTAGTATGACCTGGATAGGACAGGAGCTCCACAAGGACCAAATATATCTGGGCACAGGGGTCTTGTCTGAGACTGTTTCTCCAACCAAGGACCATGCATGGATATAACCTAGAACCCCTGTTCAAATGTAGCCCATGGTAGATCAGTACCCAAGTGAGTACCCTAGTAAGAGGAACAGGGACTATTTCTGACTTGAACTCAATGGCTGGCTCTTTGACCTCCCTCCTCCCCCTGAGAAAGGAGCAGCCTTGGTAGGCCACAGAGGAGAATACTGCAGCCAGTCCTGAAAATACCTGATAAGCTAGGGTCAGATGGACGGGGAGGAGGACTTCCCCTAACAGTGGACTTGGAAAGGGGCAGGGAGGAGATAAAGGAGGCAAGATGGGATTGGGAGGGAATGAGGGAGCAGCATACAGATGGGATACAAAGTAAATAACTTGTGATTAATATAATAAATAAAAAATTATTTTAAAAAATTGAATAGCTATTACAAATAAGGCTGCAACAAACATGGTTGAGCAATTGTCCTTGTTGTGTACTTGAGCATCTTTTGAATATATGCCTAGGAGTAGTGTAGCTGGATCTTGAGGTAGCACTATTCCTAATTGTCTGGGAAAGCGCCAGATTTATTTCCATAGTGGTTGTACTAGTTGACATTCCCACCAGCAATGGAAGAGGGTTCCCCTTTCTCCACATGCCCTCCAACATGCATTATCTCTTGAGGTTTTTTTTTTTTTTTCTTTTTAGTTACATTTTGTTAACTCTGTGTCCCAGCTGTATCCGGCTCCCTCATTCCCTCCCCAACCCCACACTCCCTCCCTGGTCTCCTCCCTGCCCCTTTCCAAGTCCCCTGATAGGGGAGGACTTCCTCCCCTTTCATCTGACCCTGTTTTATCAGGTATCTTCAGGGCTGGCTGCAAAGTCCTCCTCTGTGGCCTAACAGACTGATCCTCCCCTGGGGGGGGGGGGGGGGGCGAACAACAGGCCCTCCTTTACTTCTTGTTAGAAATAGTCCGTGTTCCCCTTACTTTGGAAAACTACTTGGTTACTGAGCTACCACTGGCCACATCCGAGCAGAAGTTCTAGGTTATATCCATAGATGGTCCTTGGTTGAGTGTCAGTCTCAGTAAAGACCCTGTGCCCAGATATGTTTGGTCCTTGTAGAGCTCCTATCCTTTCCATATCATACTAACTTCCCTTCTTTCATATGATTCCCTGCACTCTGCCAAGGGTTTGGTTATGAGTCTTAGTGTCTGCTTTGAAACACTGCTAGGTAGAGTCTTTCAGATGCCTTTTGTGGTAGACTCATGTCATAAGTTCAATGCACATCCCATTTGTCTTTCTAAATGAGGATTAATCACCTTCGCCTGTGTCCACTTTCTTGATTATCTTCTTTAGGTGTGTAGATTTCATTATGTTTATCATATCTTGTAGGTCTATATAAGCGAATATATACCAAGTTTGTCTTTCTCCTTCTGGGATACTTCACTCAGAATGATCTTTTCTAGATCCCACCACTTGCCTGCAAATTTCATGATTTCCTCCTTTTTGATTGCTGAGTAGTATTCCATTGTGTAAAAATACCACAATTTCTGTATCCATTCCTCAGTTGATGGACATCTGGGTTGTTTCCAAGTTCTGGCTATTACAAATAAATCTGCTACGAACATGGTTGAACAAATGACCTTGTTGTGTACTTGAGCAAATTTTGGGTATATACCTAGGAGTGGTATAGCTGGGTCTTGAGGTAGCACTACTCCTAGTTGTCTGAGAAAGCACCAGATTGACTTCCAGAGTGGTTGAACCAGTTTACATTCCCACCAGCAATGGAGGAGGGTTCCCTTTTCTCCACAACCTCTCCAGCATATGCTATCACTTGAGTTTTTCATCTTGGCCATACTGATGGGTGTAAGGTGAAATCTCAGGGTCGTTTTGATTTGCATTTCCCTAATGGCTAATGAGGTTGAGCATTTCTTTAAGTGTTTCTCTGCCATTCGATGTTCCTCTTTCGAGAATTCTCTGTTTAGCTCTGTTCCCCATTTTTTAAGTGGATTACTTGATTTGTTGCTTTTCTGCTTCTTTAGTTCTTTATATATACTGGATATTAGCTCTCTGTCAGATAAAGGGTTGGTGAAGATTCTTTCCCAATCTGTAGGCTGTCTATTTGTTTTGATGACAGTGTCTTTTGCTTTACAGAAGCTTTTCAGTTTCATGAGGTCCCATTTATTGATTGTTGCTCTTAGAGCCTGTGCTGTTGGTGTTCTGTTCAGGAAGTTGTCTCCTGTGCCAATGAGTTCTAGGCTGTTTCCCACTTTTTTTTCCAACTGATTTAGAGTATCTGGTTTTATGTTGAGGTCATTGATCCACTTGGACTTTAGTTTTGTGCAGGGTGATATATATGGATCTATTTTCATTTTTCTGCATGTAGACATCCAGTTGGTCCAGCACCATTTGTTGAAGATGCTGTCTTTTTTCCATTGAATGGATTTGGCTTCTTTGTCAAATATTGAGTATTCATAGGTGTGTGGGTTTATTTCTGGGTCTTCTATGCGATTCCATTGATCCTCCTTTCTGTTTCTATGCCAATACCATGCAGTTTTTATTACTGTTGCCCTGTAGTACAGCTTGAGATCGGGAATGGAGATACCTCCAGATGATCTGTTCTTGTAGAGGATCGTTTTGGAGATTCTGGGTTTTTTGTTTCTCCATATGAAGCTGAGAATCTTTTTTTCAAGGTCTGTAAAGAATTGAGTTGGTATTTTGATGGGAATTGCATTGAATCTGTAGATTGCTTTTGGCAGGATGGCCATTTTCACAATGTTAATCTTACCAATCCATGAGCACGGGAGATCTTTCCATCTTCTGAGATCTTCTTCAATTTCTTTCTT